TTTTTTAAACTTTTTTAGACAAAGTCTCAATAATTAATGGTTTAAAAATGTGACACATTGATTAATGTATAACAATACATACAAATCAAGTTATATTACAAGTGGGTGGATAAACTGCTCAAAAATGAATAAGGATATTTGGCATTTATTCATATTCTATTAATTGGAATTAAATTAACAACTAATTTTTGTTAGTTGGATAAAACAAAATAGAAATACAAACCAAAAACAAACAGTTAATCCTCCTTTTTAATAACGTACTTACTTATGAATAGTAAAAGTGAAGATTACTCAATTTTTAAACAAATACCTTTTCCCGTCTTTTCTCCATTTTAATCCAGTTGGATTCTTTTTAACCATGGAAAAACATCACCTTGAACCGGAAGTTCGCAATATTATTGTGAGAATGAGTCACCGAGGTCACCTGCAAGTGAATATCAGTATTTCAGAGCATGGTCTCCCGAGCTCAACCTTAAAATGTGTAAATTTAATACATAAGTTTTTTTTATGTTTGGCACCCTTACAAACATGTTTGTTGAAAAACAGTTATTTTTGGAAATTTATCAAAAGGTTCTCCTTTTTTTCAAATTCTTCATTTTGGGTTGAATTAATAAACCATACATCGGTGTTTGATGAGATTAAAAATACCTGCTTCTTTTAGGAAATTTAATGCAGAATTCAAAAATGTGATTACAAATTGGAATAGAGATCTTGAAAAAATGCCAATTAATATGGCTTGTGGTCGGGATTTTTAGCAAAAATACACGTAAAAATTTATAACTTTTAATTTCAAATGAATAGTTTTCACTGACTTATACGTAACTAACTTAATTCGAATTTTCATTATTTTTTATTAAATTTAAATTGACCTTTTTTAATTTCAAATTAACTCTTTTTAATCTCGATCGATTTCAGGGGTTTTTTATTTAAAAAAAATTAATTTGTAGATTCGTTCAATAGTTTTTATTAAGATTATGTCAGATTTCAATTAATTATTTTTTCTATGTAAGGTCTTGGTTGAGATAAAAAAGTCAGTGTCAGGAGCGGGATTCGAACCCACGACCTTCGGCTAGATACGCCGTTACTCTACCACTTGAGCTATCGTTACTCCCATCCCCTCGGACACCAACTCTCCATCCCAACAATCCCTCAATCCAAGGTTGTAGGTTGAGATGAAGAGTTGTTGTCCGAGAAGATCGAAGTCACGATAGCTCAAGTATTTAGCCGAATGTCGTGGGTTCGAATCCCGCTCGTAACACTGACTTTTCTTTTCAACCAAAACCTTACATAAAAAGAATAATTAATTGAAAGAAGTAACTTGGTCAGTTGGCCACAAAAACATAAAATGGGTTATAATAAATATTACAACAAATGCTTACCTCCTATGTGTACAGAAAGTACATAAAAAAATGTATTACAGGATAAAATTATTGATATTTAAAACGGAAAATATCTCTTTAATAGATCAGTAGGCCATTTTAGTTAGAGCCTTTTTTAATCTCAGCCAAGACCTTACATAGAAAAAATAATTAATTAAAACAAGTAACTTGGTCAATTGACGTAAATGGATTTTTCATATATTTGTAGCGTATTGACATAAACAAGGCCGCCATATTTTAAAATTGATTTTACCATTGTTTTTAATGTGATAAATTGATTAAAATCAATTGAACTTTGTTTCCATTTTGTTAAAATCAAACCGTGCTATATTCGCAGAATGGATGATAACAATAGTGTTTGTGTAATATTTTCTAAAACTGGATTTGTCTAAAAGCGGATAAATTCTTCATGGTTATTAGGGAATTATTTTTAAAGTGAAATAAAATAAATGGTTGCCAATGGTGATCGAAACGGACGGAATAGCTTTTTAAAACATTTTCAATGAAGAACCTTTCCCAATCGTATTGTGATATATCGAATGCGTACAACAAATGATGATACGTGCTCAATCTATGACAAGAATGACTCATTGATAACCTGTTGCTTTCCGGGGGAATAAAGACTCCAGACGAAGAAAAAGAGCCCAGCGGCTAGGAAGGGAAGTTAGAAGAAATATATTCCTGTAATATTCGGCGGAGAATCAGTATTCGTAGAGGGGAAGCAATTACTTACAGATATTCACCCTTGTCTGGGATATTCCCATCTTCCGTTCTTCTCTATTCCAATTTCTTCATTCTCTCAAATTGACGATGTTACTGCATTTGGGTTTGTAAGCGCTATATCAAATTTCAACTCCACCCAAAGAATACATCACGAATTTTCCACGGAGACATCACGCATTTTATTCGATTCGGTCACATTCGGATTGTCTGTTTGAGGGATTCAATATGTCTCGCCTGTACAGGCCACGATGAACAACCATTTAAATTGTGCCCCCTAGGCTCAACCCTTAGACAATTCATATTTACATTTATCTTTCGACAAATATTTTGAACACTTGAGTATTTTAAACGTCAATAATGCACATGAAATAAAGTAATTTCCCAATTAATACACTTAATTTTTTTCATTTTAGGTTAGGTTATAAGTTATTAGGCATTACGATCATACGCATCGAGATCAATATTTATCTTTTGTGCACTTCATCCATCATCTCACAGTTTTGATAAGAGCTCCTCTATGTACCTTTTACGTATTGGCTTTTCCTCTTCCAGGAGTTCCTAATCCTCCATCTCTGCGTGCGAAGGGGTTCGCATCGACAGATGATCCGCTGTTCCTTCTCCTTCCTGCCTGTATCTGCGCAATTTTCTTTCAGCTCATACGAAATTATATTAGGTCTAAGGGTCAGGTTATGGGGTTAGGGTTAGAGTTAGGGATAGGTTGTGAAAGGGGATTATTCCCTCACTCTCTCTCTCTCTCTCTCTCTCTCTCTCTCTCTCTCCCTCTCTCTTTCTTTCTTGATTTCTTATTCATTCTCTGACGCTGTCATCTCTCGTATCTATCTCTCCATCACTTTCCCATTCACTTTCTCTCTCGTTGTCATCTCTCTCTCTCTCTCTCTCTCCCATTCACTCTGTCACGCTGCCATCTCTCTCTCTCTCTCTCTCTCTCTCTCACGCTCTCTCTCTTTCTCTCTCTCTCTCCCTCCCAATCACTCTCTCTCTCTCCCTCTCTCTCTTTCTCTCTCTCTCTTTCTCTCTCTCACGCTCTCCCTCTTTCTCCTCTCTCTCTCTCTCTCTCCCTCTTTCTATCTATCTATTCATCTATCTTTCTTTATCTCTCTCACTCTCTCTCTCTCTCCTCTCTCTCTCTCTCTCTCTCTCTCTCTCTCTCTCTCACGCTCTCTCTCTTTCTCTCTCTCTCTCCCTCCCAATCACTCTCTCTCTCTCTCCCCTTTCTCTCTCCCTCTCTCTCTTTCTTTCTTTCCAAATCTCTCTCTCACTCTCTCTCATCTTTCCCATTCACTCTCTTACGCTGCCATCTCTCTCTTTCTCTCTCTCTCTCTCGCTGTCGTCTTTTCTCTCTCTCTCTTTCTCTCTCACTCTCTCTCTATCTTTCCCATTCACTCTCTTACGCTGCCATCTCTCTCTTTCTCTCTCTCTCGCTGTCGTCTTTTCTCTCTCTCTCTCTCTCTCTCTCTCTCTCTCTCTCTTTTGTTATCTTTTTATATTTCTCTAACTCACAATATCTCTTGTGTTTTTATTGTTTCTTTCTTCCGTTTCCTTTTTTCGCACGAGCTTTCTGTCTCTTTTTATTTCCTCTCTGTCGTTTTGTGAGAGTTTTTGTTTTTCCTTGATTTATCAGTTCTCTGTATTTCAGTAGCTAGTCGACTATAATGTGATTAGTTTTAGTGTTTATGCTAATGATGTTCAGTTTTGACACTACACTCTTCGAATCGGTTACAACTGCTATCCTCCACACATTCTGGGCTTATTTTGTTCGCACTCGAAGGCTTAAGTAGGACCATGGATTCTACAGTAAAAATCAGGGCGTAATTAGGCCGGAAAAATTTTATTTGCAACACTAAACATATCATAATGTAAATAAATGTACCAGAATTTTCAAATCGTGTGAAAAGAATATAAAAGAAATCAGTTGATCTGTACATTACGTCAGTACAAAGGTAAATTGATAATCAATTTGTATTAAGGGAAGATACATATGTCCGACTTACCCCTTTGGCGGGGTTGCTGGGGGAAAAAAAGACCGTAGTCAAGGGGAAATAATGAACGAGGTGGGCCAGTTTATAGTCGTAACAGTAAAAAAGGTATGGTTACCATTGACTCTGTCAATTCTCCAGCTACCAAGCTCCTCCTCCTACTACCCTATCTTTTACGGGAATAAATCACGACATACATAACATCTAACATATCCGGTTATTTGAATTGTGAAAGTTTTACATGGTGATTTTATTCTTATGTCAGAATTTTTTAAAACTTTATTTCATCCTAATATACAGCTATCATTGTAAAAGTAAAAGGTTTTCCTAAATAGATATTTACATTGTTAAATATATTTGCATGACTTTACTTTTTGCAGACTTTTTACATCCACGAGGAATTCTGTTTTTGAACCTAATGAATGATAACAAAAAAAAAGATGTTTCATTTTGAGAAAAAACTGACTGTAAAGGACGTTCCCGGTTGTTTGTACTGTCCCTCATAACATTTCTCCTCCCTTTGCCTCTATCACTCCATCTCCCTGTCTTCCAGTCCCTTTTCTTCTATCTTTTCCCTAACGAATGTTTACATTCCTTTTCGTTTTTCCAGCGCAGCACTTTCCGATTCGAAACGTTTCCAACACGGGTACAGTTTGCATCTCGTCAACGTCTCTTTCGCATCCGCTCCTCCTAAAAGCCCCCTTTAAACTTTATTTGCTTTCCCCTTGTCTCTTATTCGCTAATGTCGCTCCATGTCATTAACACACGTAAAACACATATCCCCTAATACGTTTAAACACTATCTGTACATTAAGGCGCTTCTACTCGGGATAAGCCCATTAGCTCTCGTCACATCGGCAGGCTTCTAACTAGACACGAAATAACCTGTTCTCATTTTCAGGTGGAAACGTGGTCCAACGAATCTGTTGTCACCAGCGCCGTCATCTTCTCCCCCGCTCCTGAGGACGATGGGCATATTCTCAAATGCCAAGCTTTAAATCCGAGTATTCCATCTGCACCTATCGAAGACAGCATCACTCTCAACGTTGTCTGTAAGTAGAAATTAAATAATAATTATAGCTGCGAACACTCTGGTAATGTGAGATTTATTGTTATTAATTTCTGCAATGTAAACTAGCATTCAATATTACGTTTCAGTTGTCTCTTATTTTTTCCATTTTCTTTTTATTCTGTGCATTAAAAAATGTTTCTAAAAACGGTTATTAGCGTTCTACTATGAACAATACAATTTATTCAAAGTTTATCATCTTAATTCTTTTACATGTGTTTTCAAATTAAATATATCCTTTTACAAATCATTTTTTCCATGTTGTCAAATAAATTTACGTTTTGCAAATTAAATTCTTTTTTTGCAAGAAAAATTCACAATTTTACCCACAAAATTCACTCCTTTGCAAAGTAATTTATTCTTTATCTAATTACATTTTCTCTTTTGCAAATCAAATTTATAATTTGGCAAGTCAAATTCACTATTTTATCAATAAAATTTACCTTTTTGCAAAGTAAATTCATTCTTTTCCGAATTAAATAACCTCTTTTGCTACTCTAATTTACCATTTTTCCAAATCATATTCATTCCTTTGCTAGTCAATTTCACACTTTTACCAATGAAATTTCCCCTTTTGCGCAGTGAATTCATTCTTTTGCAAATTAAATACCCTCTTTTTAAATCAATTTGTTTCAAATTAAATTAATTCTTTTGCAAGTCAAATTCACACTTTTGCCAATAAAATTCACCCTTTTGCAAAGTAAATTCATTATTTTGCCAACTGAATTCATTCTTTTCCGAATTAAATACCTTCTTTCTTAAATCAAATTTACTTTCTTTCAAATTAAATTAATTCTTTCTTAAATCAAATTTACTTTCTTTCAAATTAAATTAATTCTTTTGCAAGTCACATTCACATTTTTACCAATACAATTCTCTGTTTTACCAAGTGAATTCATTCTTTTGCGAATTAAATACCCACTTTTTTAATTCAAATTTACTTTGTTTCAAATTAAATTAATTCTTTTGCAAGTCAAATTCACACTTTTGCCAATAAAATTCACCCTTTTGCAAAGTAAATTCATTCTTTTGCCAACTGCATTCATTCTTTTGCGAATTAAATACCTTCTTTCTTAAATCAAATTTACTTTCTTTCAAATTAAATTATTTGTTTTGCAGTCACATTCACATTTTTACCAATAAAATTCACTGTTTTATCAAATGAATTCAATCTTTTGCGAACTAAATACCCTCTTTTTTAATTCAAATTTACTTTGTTTCAAATTAAATTAATTATTTTGCAATAAAATTCACACTTTGCCAATAAAATTCACCCTTTTGCCAAGTGAATTCATTCTTTTGCAAATCAAATTTACCATTTTGCAAATTAAGTTTACTCTTTTGCAAATTTGCGAATTAAATTCGCGTTTTTTTTTCTTCAAATTAATTCCCTCATTTTCAAATAAATTTCATTATTTTGCAAATTCAATACCCTTGTTTGCCAATCAAATTACTCATTTGCAAATTAAATTCACTATTTTGCCAATAAAATTCACCCTTTTTTTTAAGTAATTTCTTTGTTTAAAATTGCACATAAATTCGCTATTTTGCCAATGAAATTCATCCTTTTGCAATGTAAATTCATTCTTTTGAAATTTAAGTTCCTTCTTTTACAAATAAATTGAATCACAAAATGGAATCGCAGATCTCTGTCCCGGTACCTCAGGGCTATAAGGATTTTTATGTTTATATAGGGTTAATGTATGTTTATGTTGACTTTGTGTTAATTTATTAGTACATATGTAATTTATTAGCGCGAAAGATTGTTGAACCCCACCCCAAGGAAACCCACTGGAGTGAGTGTGTAACATCTAGAAAGTAAAAGTAACTTATTAGCGAAATTGGAGTCGGTTTAATTCCGCCCCGAGTAATATCGAAGACTCTGGTGGAAAAATATTATGTTTGTGGTGATGTGTATATATATATATATATATATATATGTGTCTGATAACCTAAGGTACCTATGTAAAAGAGGCTAGTATTTTAGGACATCGAGGTAGTATATATAAAAGCAGAGTCAGTAACCAGATCGAGATGCTCAAATGGCTGCAGTTTAAAAAAATACACATGAAAGATCAAAAAAAGAAGGAAAATACACAGGCAGAGGGCCGGCGATGACAACTTTTTGTCAGCCCATAAACCTCCTACTTCCCAACTTTTTTGTCGACGGTCTTCATGAATGAAATCCATAATAATTGCAAAATGTTGAAAATAATAGACGATTTATTATTATATTTTCCTCCTTTCAACATTAAAATGTTACATATCCATATGTTTTCCTCTGTGGTTTGATTTGTTCAATTATCTTTGAAGCATCCGTTGCAGAATGCAATTGACATTTTAACGTTTGTCAACAGGTACCGCTATTTGTTGAATGTGCTTTCTTAGTTAACAACTCTCAGTTTGATTTTCTGTTTCGATTTGAACATGTTTTGAATTTCACATTTGATTGGGCGGTGATGGTTGAACTGTTGTCCTATGATCGGGCTGATGGCATTCCTCATCTTGTTTACTATGTATCACCGGCTCCAGTGTCGATTTTGTCGAACGGGCGGTGTGTTTCTTCAGCGTATCTTCTATGCATATTCAAAGACTAAACGCGTGAGCGGCCGGTTTTAAATTTCCATTTGTAAAATGAGGAGAATTTCATATTTCAGCCCTCATCGTTAATAAAGAATGCCAAACACACACTGATTGTAAATCATGCAAAATGGTTCCAGTCATGTCTGAGCTTTAAAGTAATAACAGCCTTCACATTTACAACATCGGAAGTCAAAGTCAATCAATGAATAATTAATCAATAGAGATTATAACGGTGATAGTGGTTTTTTTATTATTTCAACAGTAATAAGTTAACGTCTTATTATGGATAATTTTGAAGATTTCATCGAGTTTAAATTTTGTCAATACATTATTGTTTATTGATTTGACTTACTGCTCTTTTCTTTTCTGAAGAACAACATCGCTTTCAATTTCAACTTCATTATCTTTGTTTCGTTTAAATTATGTAAATAAATCCATTTTTTTTCTTCTTTCACACAATCATAATCGCACCCAGGCAAACATATTTAAATGAGAATCCCAGATTGCTTTTGTCTTTAAATAGTCTAGTATTAAATTTTGTCCATTTCATCGTCAATTAAGGCGACAGGGTTAAGACGGGTCGAGAGGTTGGTGTGAAACTTTTGGAATCGAGAACGGATCAGTTCGTTAATAAAAGGAATGTTGAGGTCGTTGTGGATAGTGAGGATAGTGACGTACTGAGGGGCTTTGTTGATTTATCGGGGACTTTTGATTGGAAGGGTAGGATGATATGGATGATCCTCTAAGTCTTCGTAGTTGTCCAAATTTTCTGTTGAGTTGTTATCTCTTAAGTCTTGTGTGGGGATTCTACGTCTATCTACATTTCTACGTCAGTCGGCTGTGATTCCATGCTGTCTCCGTATAGTCCTAAGTATTTGACTTGAATGAAAGTCGATATCTCTTTGTTGTACATGTACAATGAAGAAAACACGACTGCTTTTTTAATGTGAACGTACACTGACTTTATTTTTTCTTCACTCAATCTTGTCTTCTCATTTTTGCACCAGTCTTCTATAAACTCAAGGATGTTGTAGGTGGTAGCTTGCATAGGATTCGATTTAGAGGATAAAATTGTAGGATCGTCCGCAGTAGGTAGTGATGATAGCATTGGAGTGTGTAGGTCAGCATAAAATTATGTAAAGTATGGGACCAAGAATGCTCCCTTGTGGGACGTCGACTTGTATCGGTCTAACTTCTGAGAACTCACCCTGAAGCAGCGGTTAGGTAGGATTTCAAGATAACAATAAGAAGTGGCCAGGAATCGTTTAAGTTTATAAAGCGTGCCCGGGTGCTTAACCCTATCAAAAACCTGTGGTACATTTAGGAACACACCCAAACAATACTCTTTGTTTTCTAGAGCAGATAGACAACTCTGAAACCTTGTTGGTTTGTAGGATGATGTGGACGGATGCCGAATTGGTGAAAGAGGATTATTTTATGATCTACGATGGAGATTAAACGTTTTAAAATGAGTCTATAGTGGATTTTAGACATTGTAGGATGAAGGATGATGGATCTGTAGGTAGACATGTGGTTGGAGGTTTGTCAGCTTTAGGAATGAGAATAAAGACTGAATATTTCCATAAGAGAGAATAGTGAGTGGTTCGTAGGATGGTATTACTTATTGTGGTTAGAGAAACTATGACCTTTTGCAAAATAACGCCTTTTCAACAAATTCTAAAAGTGGAATAAAACTGGGTCAACGTTCTTCAACACTGCCTAATGTTACGGTTGGCATAAAAGGGGCGGATAAACCAATTCGACATTGGGAAAACGGCGTTTATAGGCTGTTTTCTTTGGGCCATATTCTTCTCAAAGGTGCTTTTTTTCTCTGTTTAAGCAGTAAAGAAATGATAGAAAAGTGGGAATGAACGAGCAATAAAAGTAAGAAAGCCGTGAGCAGAGTGGGCTGTAAAAGAAGTTACTTCAAATCATAAGTATACCTTCAGCTTCTAACGTGAAATGAAATTTCTTCCATTCACTGCCCCATAACATTCCCAACCGTTAGTGGAATTTGCACTTTGGACATTCTCCCCTCATGTTTAGCTATCGTTTATCATTGAAAAATCATAAATGTTTAAAGAAAGCTCTCAAGAAGGTAAACAGGGCGATATGCAATCGACATCACATGTCGAGAAAAGCTCAATTCAATCGGATCAATCATACTGAGTGGTTTTGTTCTCGTTGTCTTTTAAAAGTGTTTACGTACAGGGCCAGATGTTATAGCTGAGTACATTATATACTGTCATCATGACGAAAGATATTTCTGATATCCTTGTCCATTAAAGCAAGGTTGCCGTGAATTGTTCCGTAAACGACTGGATTAAAAGCGTTCAATGTGCATCTCCATAACGGCGCACAGTTTAGATTAGATTCTCATGACGCCAAGAAATTGCGTTT